TTTATTAATATTTTTATTCAGATGAATAGGGGTATAGAATAATTGCAAAATACAAATATACCATGGTGATGTATTTGTTTTATTTTTGTAATATTATTTATATAAAAAAATATTACTTTTTTAATTATTAATACAAGAAAAAAAAAGACAAATAATATTAACGTTATTTATAAATTAATGCATAGTATTAATACAAATATTAATAATAATAATAATAATAATAATAGTAATAATAATAATAGCAATGAATATAATAAAATGTTACTTTTAATAATTAATACGCGAAAAAAGAAAAGAAAAATATAAACGTTCATTTATAAAATGTATAATATTAATAAAAAATAATATGAATAATAATAAAAATAATAATAATAATAGCAATGAATAAAATAAAACATTACTTTAAATAATGAATACAAGAAGAAGAAGAAAAAAAAAAAAATAACCAAAAGGAAAAATAATATAAACGTTATTTATTGTCCCATGAAAAATAAATACAACTACGAATTGGATTGATTTAATAAAGTAAAAAGGATTGTAAAAAAAAAAAAAAAAAAAAAACAGAAAATAAAAATAAAAAATTGTATTAATAAAAAATATATTTCTAATATTTCCATATTATGATATTGTAAATAAAAGGAAGGATAATATTTCAATAACTATGAGATAGTTGATGCATTCGATGAATCGATAAATTCTTCAATAACGATTTATGTTGTTCTTTTGTTCAGGCTTTGAGTGAGCCCTAGGATATCATCCCCTAGCTGTTCCGGATTTAATTCCATCATCAATATGGATGCGCAAACTGAGGTACATTGTTTTCAATTGATTTTATTATTGAATATATATCTATATATATATATATATAATTGTTTTTATTATAGCAAATTGGACTTTAAATATCAACTGACTGAATTTTACATTTCCATTTTTTATTTTTTTTTTTTTGTTCAACACTTTCTATAAAAGATATTATCTATAATAGATAATATTAATATCTATTTTATATACAGATACATTTACAGTATTTACAGTATTAAGAAAAATGATTAATTTATTACTAAAACTAAATGATAAACTATTATATATAATTACTATTAAAAAATTACTATTAACAAACTAAATTATTATTTAATTTATTATTTAGTTTTATTATTAAAATTAATCTACAATATTATATAATTAAATATTACAAAATTACTATTTACAAACAAAATTATTTATATCATTTATAATTTAGTTTTACTATTATAATTTTTTTAGTTTAGTAAACTAGTAAATATATGAAATAATAAACTTATTAGTTTAATATTAAAATTAATTTAGTTTTACTATTAAAACTAAACTCTACAATATCAAATAATTACTATTAAAAAATTACTATTTAAAAATTATTATTATTAAAAAATTATTATTTACAAATTAAATAATTAATATAATTTATAATTTAGTTTTACTATTATTATTTTTTTAGTTTAGTAAACTAGTAAATATATGAAATAATAAACTTATTAGTTCAATATTAAAATTAATTTAATTTTACTATTAAAACTAAACTCTACAATATCAAATAATTACTATTAAAAAAATTACTATTTAAAAATTATTATTATTAAACAATTACTATTTACAAATTAAATTATTTATATAATTTATAATTTAGTTTTACTATTATTATTTTTTAGTTTAGTAAACTAGTAAATATATGAAATAATAAACTTATTAATTTACTATTAAAATTAATTTAGTTTTACTATTAAAATTAAACTACAATATTATACATAATTACAATTAAATATTAAAGTATTAAGAATTATGATTTAAAGTATTAAGAAAAATAAAGATTAATTTATTACAAAGATAAACTTTTACTATACCGTAAGTCAATCTAATTTTCGATCTGTTTTCTATCATTTAATGTCGAATAGAATAAATCTTTCTTACTGATATCTTAAACTCATTTATCCAATGTATACAACGATAATATGCCATAAATCATTTCGAATATGTTTCCCTTATGTGTTAATACAGACTTTAAGTAGATAACATCATCTTATTTTCGTATGAACGTATGTTTTATATTTCGTTGACTTAAGTCATTTCAAATCCATTCGATTCATTTTATCCCCATAGTCAAATAAATTTCAAAAATGTGATTTCGTTTAATTGGAATATTAAATCAATTGTCAAAAAAAAAAGAAAAAAAAAGATTGAATAAAATAAAAAAATAAAAGAAAAAATACAAAATTTATAATGTAACACAGAGTTATAATAACTTTAACAACAGGATATTTTGAATAATTTTAACTGACTAATTATAAAAAATAATAAAACGATATTATGAACGAATAAAGATAATAACAATTAAACTAGACCACCAATTTCAAATATAAAAGCAATTAAACTAAACGACATTGAAATAATTGCCAATATTTAGTTGACATGTTAAATATCACAATAAAATCCATGTTAAATTAATCGGTAATACAGTAATATAAAGGTGTTATAGTAAAAAAAAAAAAATAAAAAAAAAAATACAGAGGGCGTATATTTACGTCTTTCGTGTGTATATTGATGGATTTGTGAGAGCGTATATATACGCCTTTAACAGTCAAAGGAATATCTCGAAAGAAGAGATATATGACTTAGACTACTTTGATAATTATGGACACATATAATAATTCCCATAAATTTCACAGGGGTGTGTATTTGTGTTTGTATTTTTTTAGTATTCATTTATTCCTTTCATATATATATATACATATATATTAATCAAATTGGTTGAAGATAACATGTTGTAAACACTTTGGAGAATCCCTTGGATGTTCGTTCCAGCATGACAAAGCATCGGATTATAATGTAGACAATGAGAATAATCAATGGTGACCGTAGCTGACAACTAACAGGATTGACCGATCAGCTTATATAGATACGCATGTCTTTTGTTATTAACAAACCTTATTCGAAGTTACGTGTTGTTATTGAAGCCTGAAATGATTTCGAAGAAAACACATGTTGATTTATATAATTTAACCAGTTGACTGTGGAATTTAGTTTCAAAAGATTACCACAGGGTGTGGAATTAAAAACAAGCAACGACGTGTATACACGTCGAACGTGTAGGCCAAATGGTATTATTATATATTTGACGAAAAACGAGGAAGGATTATATTTTTATTCCAAACTCAACAAAACTAACAATTCGTTCTCTGAATACGTTATTCTTACTAAAAGTTTGAAAATTGTGAAAAAAATAATAAAATACATAAAAAAGAAAAATTGAAGATAGGAAGAATAAAGAAGAAAGAAAAATCAGAAAATAGTTTAGAAAATTTCAAATTATGTATGTGTGATATGTTTCAAAGTGTGCACGGTACTACGCAAAGTGCAACTTCACAGGTCGTACACCAAAAACCT